GGTTCAAGTTGTGTTCGACACAACCTGAGTTTTTGGAAGGTCTCCAGGTATAAGATGTTGACACTGCTGCCGGTGTCAACAAGTACCCGGGCGACATCCACCCCATTAATGTCCATGGTGATGACCAATGGATCATTGTGATCTTCACCGGTAGGAGGGAGATCCCGGTCAGTAAAGACGATCGGCTCCCTCCTAGTATGTTTACGCCTGGGCGGTTCAGCACTTACTTCTCCCACGTAAATGCTCCGGACCCAGTTCTTCCGCTGCGCGGCTGAATCTCCGCCCTCGGGTCCGCCGAAGATCATGCCGATGTGTTCTTTTTCGGGGGCAGGTTGCCGCTCCCTTGGCCGGTTATTCCTCCGCCGATCATTGTCCTGGTCATTCCCTGGGGCAGCTGGCCTAACCCATTGATGACTCTTCTCCTGGGCTTTCTGCAAGTAATCTTTGCCCAGCTCCCCGCTATCGATCATCTGCCGGATGACCCCCTTAACACTCTTACATTCGGAGGTGTTATGGGAATCTGACCTGTGGTATGAACAATAGGTGCCCGACCACTGCCGCCCTACTTGACCGGTAGGGTTTTCTAGAGGAATGACCGGTGCTTTCCGGACTTCTTGGCATTCCTCCGTACTGACCACTCGGATGACCGGGTCATAGTGGTGTCTCGACCGGCTAGGTCCCGGTGCTTCTTCCTTCTTGACTTGCACCGGCTTGGGCTTGTGACCATGCTCAGCTTCTCTCTTTGCCCGGAGCTGGGTTTCGGCTTCAGCAAACTCCCATGCAGTATGGTAGGCCTCTTGGTACGTGGCTGGGGGTTTCCGGCAGAACTCCTTGTATAGTTCCCCAGCACGCAAGCCATTCCAGAGGAGGGAGAGGACGGTCTTGTCATCCATCTCTTCCACCTTGTCCACCTCTTCCTTCCACCGGGTAAGGAACTGAGTAAGGTTCTCAGACTCCCTTTGCCCGGCTGTACTAAGATAGGTGAATTTCTTCCTCTTAGTACAATTCTCCTGGAACTTGGCCTTGAATTTTGAGGCCAAATCACTGAATGAATCAATGCTTCCCGGGCGAAGCTTATTGAACCATTCAGTGGCTCGGTTCCGCAAGGTCTGGAAGAAGAGAAGGCACTTTTCTTCATCGGTGCAACCGTTCATGGTCGCACTCTGGTTGAAGGAGTCCAGATGGATTTCCGGATCTTCCTTCCCGGTGAATCTGGGGGCGTCGATCTTGACCTTTCGCGGGAAAGGTGTCAGATGGACCCTTGCGGTGAACGGGGACCCTGCCAGGGGTTTGTCCCGGTCATTCTTCTC